TTTTTTTTTTAAATTAAATATATTGGGATAACATTGGTTAATAAGACTATATATAGGTTTCAAGTGTACAATTCTGTAGTACATCATTTGTATATTGCGTCGTGTGTTCACCACCCAGAGTCAGTTCTTCTTCCATCAGCATATATTTGACCCCCTTCCCTTTTCTACTTCCTCCCCTTTTCCCTTCCCCTCTGGGAACCACTAAACTGTTGTCTGTGTCTGTGAGTTTTTGTTTGTTTGTCTTGTTCCTTTGTTGCTTTCAGTTTTATATCTCCCATATGAGTGAAATCACATAGTTCTCGACTTTTTCTGTTGGACTTGTTTCACTTAGCATAATAATCTCAAGATCCATCCATGTTGTCGCAAATGACAGTATTTCATCTTTTCTTATGGCTGAGTAGCATTCCATTGTGTAAATATACCACATCTTCTTTATCCAATCATCTATCGAAGGACACTTTGGTTGTTTCCATGTCTTGGCCACCATGAATAATGCTGCATGAACATAGAGATACATATATCTTTATGGATAAATGTTTTCAATTTTTTTGGGTAGATACCCAGAAGAGGGATTGCTGGGTCATATAGTAATTCTATTCTTAATTTTTTGAGGAACCTCCATACTGTTTTCCATGGTGGCTGTACCACTTTACATTCCCGCCAGCAGTGTATGAGGGTTCTTCTTTCTCCACAGCCTCTCCAACAACTGTTATTACTTGTCTTATTGATAATAGCCATTCTAACAGGTGTGAGGTGGTATCTCATTGTGGTTTTGATTTGCATTTCCCTAATAACTAGTGAAGTTGAGCATCTTTTCATGTATCTGTTGGCCGTTTGTGTGTCTTTTTGGGAGAAGTGTCTGTTCAGGTCTTGCCCATTTTTTAATTGGATTGGCTTTTTTGTTGTTGAGTTGTAGGAATTCTTTATATTGGGTTGTCAGAAAAGTCACGACGTATTTTTTTCTATGTTTTTTGTTGCACAAATGCGTCATGACTTTTCCGACAACCCAATATACTTTGGATATTAGCCCCTTATTGGAGGTGTTGTTTGCAAGTATCTTCTCCCATTCGGTTGGTTACTGTTTTGTTGACAGTTTTCTTGTGTTGTGCAGAAGCATTTTAGTTTGATACAGTCTCGTTCATTTATTTTTGCTTTCATTTCCCTTGCCTTTGAGGTCAAGTTCATAAAATCTTCTGTAAGACCAAGATCCATATGTTTAGTACCTATGTTTTCTATGCAATTTATTGTTTCAGGTCTTGTATTTAGGTCTTTGATCCATTTTGAATTAATTTTGGTGAATGGTGACAGATAGCAATCTAGTTTTATTCTTTTGCATGTGGCTTTCCAATTTTTTCCAGCACCATTTACTGAAGAGGCTTTCTTTTCTCTATTGTATGTTTTTGGCTCCTTTGTTCAAAATTATCTGCCCAGGTATATGTGGGTTTATTTCTGGGTTCTCAATTCAGTTCCATTGGTTTGTGTGTCTGTTTTTTTGCCAATACCATGCTGTTTTGATTACTGTCACTTTGTAGTATAATTTGAAGTCAGGGGATATGATACTTCTGGTCTGGTTATTTTTCCCTCAGAATGTCTTTGGCTATTTGGGCTCTTGTGGTTCCATACAAATCTGATGATATTTTTGTAAAAAATGCCATTGAGATTTGGATGGGGATTGCATTAAATTTGTATATTGCTTTGGGTAATATGGCCTTTCTGACTAGGTTGATTCTTCCAATCCATGAATACAGAATACCTTCCCATTTCTTTGTGTCTTCTTCCATTTTTTTATTTTTTTATTTTTTTATTGGGAATTGGGGGGATGGGAACAGTGCTGGGGAATTGGGGAAAGGGGAACAGACAAGTTGCTGTCGTTTTGTTTTTCAATCTAGTTGTGGAGGATGTTGCTTCACTGGCCCAAGTTGGCACCATCATTGCGCTCCTCCCTGGCGAGGCAGATCAGTCGCCGGCTTCTGGACGGCCGCTCACTGCGGCTGCTGGCCGCTCACGCTGGCTGCTGGCCACACACGGTAGCCCATGGCAACCCACTGCCACAGGGACTGCAGCCTACGCCGTCGCCGGCGACTCATGGCAGCCCAGCTCCAGGTCGAGCTGTTGTTCAGCATCTTAGCCGTAGAGGGCAGTGTCACTGGCCCTCATATGTGGGATCCGAACCGGGGCCCTCTGGCATCCCAAGCGAGTTCTTAACCATCGCGCCACTCGGCCGGCCCTTCTTCCATTTCTTTTAATGTCTTATAGTTTCCAGTGTATTGGGCTTTCTTTTTTTAACCTTATCAAGAAGCCGATTTCTTCTAATGGCTTAGCAATTAAAGCACCTCTTCTGGGCTCCATAAAACAGGTTTTTTAGACTCAGTAACACTACATATCTCATAATCCCTTTTTTTGTTGAAATAAAAGAGCTAATCACTTAGTTGTATCACTGAGTTCTCAGTCTGCCAGGTATGTGCGAATATACTGTAGATGAGGAAAATGAGGGTCAACAGTGAAATAACTTGATTGAAACCACATCACTAGAAAGTGGCAGAACCTCATAAACACGATTTAGGATCTTCACTTTGCGTTTCTCTGATGCTTCCCTTAAAGAAAGGGGTAATAAAGTGTCATCTGTTCAAAGTGAGTTTGCAATTATGAAATGTATTCACGATTTTTTTACTGAGCATATCTTACAAAGAAGCTTTTTGTATTGTTGAAATGGCTTTTTTGTTGTTGTGTACCTTGCCTTGATGCTTTCTACTTCCCACTGGGCTTCAGTTCTCTTTGGGGGCAGAGGGTGAGACTCCCTGATAGGCTCTCACGTTATTGTCATTAACTAGGTTTTGAGACCACTAGTGAACCTGTGATCATTATATACTGAACTGTTACCAAGGGGTGGCTTTGCATTTATTTGAGGGGGTAGGATATATGGAGGAAACACAGAAAGAATAGTTTGGGGTTTTGCTTGCGTGTTCCGTGGAATCTTTTACCTTCTCTTTGTCTTTCCATTCAGAATCTAAACAGTGGGAAAGTTTGACATCTGAATGCAGAACACTCCTGATTGAATCGTTAGCAACTATGGAGACAGACAGCAGACCCGAGCTGCAGGAAAAAGCATCCTTACTGAAGAAAACACTTGAAAATCTGGAATAAATTAGAACGGGAAGAGACAAATAAGTGCCATGTTCTTTGGGGTTGAAATGATGGTATTCTTTGAAAAACAAAGTGGGGAAAAGTAAAGATTAATCTGTAGCATGCATCATTCCTTGGCTGAAATAATAATAAAAAAAATGCCTTAAATTTTGTTCCTTATTAGCTTTATTTTACTTGATGTTTTTAAAATAGTATCTGGGCTGAGTGAGCTTAATGGAATCTGGATGTTTGAGAGGTGGTTGTAGGTGAAGCTGATGGAAATAGTTAATAGAAGATTAAAGCTGTTGTTAAAGGAATAGACAAAGTTGAAGAGCAAGCTGGATAAAAATCTTAGAACTGCATCAAAATTAAATAGAGTTATTTCAGTTAGTTTATACATCACTTAGTTTAACCCTGTTGTTCACACCTGAGGAAATAGGCTATGAGATGACATACAATTGCTTCCTTTCTGAGGCCTGGGCTAAGGCTGTTCGATGACCTGCCCAGGAAACTTGCTTTCATAACCTGCTGCCAATCAGTGCTAACCCCTGCCTAGCCGAGAAACTCCCAAGTTGAGGTGCATACAGCAGTCCTTGAACCAGAACTGAACTGACATCGCTGGATTCTTGAAATTCGCAAGCTGAACATGGTCATTTGTTTAGGTGATTGGTTTTTAGAAAGTGATTGTTTAGCATCTTTACAGGTTGAGGGGAAGAATTCAGTCTCCATGTGATAATTCCAATCGTCCTTTTACAGGCAGTTGCGGTAGATTAGGACATGATCACTCATCCTGCTTTGATTTAGACCATTTATAATCTCAAAACCATAAAGACAGCTTCAACTTTTCCACCCACTTCTATGCCAACAGTATGACTTTTGGATAGGAAGGAAAGCATTTTAATTCAACATCTGGGAATAACTTGACACCCCTCAAAGTAAATAGTTGCAGCTAGGGTTTCTCCCTTTCCTTGGCTCATGCCCCCGTGTAAGGATAAGGGGAAAAAACAAGTTTCATGTAAGTGTTTATGGTACACTGAGAACTCTCTAGCTCACTTGGCATTCGAAGCACAAAATTGGTTTATACTCAATATTGACCCCTTACTGACTTGAACACCAGGGTGGAAACTTCTTGTTAATTTTGGTGGTCTCTATTGACCAATGTGTTTCAAACTTTCTTGACTGTGACCTAAAGTAAAGACCTAAAGTAAAAGTAACTTTACATCTTGACCCAGAACAGTGTGTGTCTTGACCCAGAACAGTGTGTGTGTGTGTGTGTGTGTGTGTGTGTGTGTGTGTGTGTGTGTGAATGAATATAAAATCTTTTAACTGAAATAAATGTTTTGTGAACTAATACGTACTATGTGTGATACACTTTAGTTCCTCCCACACCCCCCACCTTTTTAAATGCTCTTCAGACCCACTAAATTCATTTCCTGACTCATAAATGGGTTTCTGTTTGCACTTTGAAAAACACTGCCCTAGGTAGTACCCAAATCTGGCTGCATATGCTGTGCTCTGGGGTTGCTTCTGATTGGGAAAGGGGTTTACACATGAAAATTTAGTGTTTATTACTGAAACATCCTCTTAGGTGATACTAAATGGTGAGTTTTAGTAGCACCATGAATTTTAAGAAACCTGTCATGGACTTCCACTGGAGAATGGCTTTTACCTGGGAAAAAATCAACTCTGGATGTTTTTTGAAAGCTTATGGCCTCATAGGACTTGGTGTTTTCCAGATCAGTACTTGCTGCTCCACTAAGTGCCCTCTGACTTTCATTTTTAGTACCTGGGATGCTCTTACCAGCAGGAAGGCCGGGTAGGTCCGCTATTGTTGGAAAGGAAGAGTGTAAGAGCAAGAATTGTGCTCTTGGCCCATGTCAAATGTTACAGCCTCATCAAATTTTATGCTTTTTAAACTTTTTGTTATTTAATATTGGGAATCTCCCATGGTGCTGAGAGAGGTGCTAAGATACTTGAACCTTAGTGCTTAGTGCTATTAATTTATTTTAGCTTTCTAAGCACATTTTCTAATTTATACACGTAATGCCTTCATCTTGACCAGCCAAGTTATTTGCACGACTAATGCTAAATCATGGTCTCCCAGGGCAGCTAGTGTGTGCACGGGTGCATGTACTTATTTAAAAGGGTTAAAAACTGAGCGTTTGTAATTGTGGAATGTTGATACTGGTGAAGAAATGGAAGGAGGATCCATGCATGTTTTATTTCTTCGGCCTTCATTTAACGAAGCTATCGGGAACAGATTTTTATGATTTCTTTCCCTAGGAATAGTCAGTGCTACTTGTCATATAAGCAACTGATTAAGAGCCTAATTAGTGAATTTCTTATTACTGGAATAAGTACGCTGGGTATATTTTCACAGATTTATTGATACATGGAAAGGAGGCACCTGAAGTTTGGCAATTGGAAATCAAAACAATGAAAGTAGTATAAAATTGTCTTTTTGGTCACTAAGAGCAGCAATTTCTTTAATGTTTATGTCCAATTTATGATTGCTCGTGTATCTGCCTGCAGTATCGTTTACCTACACACTAAAACTGACTGCCACTAAATCCCCACTGCTTTCTCCTTCCATCTTTTACTTGTGTACGCATTAACAAGAAAAAGGAGAGAAAAAAGATGTGACCTTGTTGATCTGTGCTCTAGTAGCAATTACACTGTGTGAACACTGCCCATTGTGGGGCAGGACGACCGGCTGCTGCCACAATATATTCATGCTGCTTGTTAAGTATAGGGAGTTACTTTGACACTGGCACTCATTGTAATGTACAAACTGTTATTAATGGATGTATATTTCACAGATTTTTGTATTTTATATGCAAAATCCTCATAGGATCCTGTGTAATATGTACTCGGCTAGCTAAGCATGTGATAGTCTTATTTGAAAGGCAAATCTTACCCATGCCCAAGAAGATACTAAGTGGTAAATAAAAGCTGCATGACCAGTTCTTCTGAAGTGGAGTGCATTAATTTTTCCTGCTTCCCTAGGAAACGAGTTCAGCTTCCGAGGCATTGACTGGTTACACTTTAAAAACCAAAAAAAGGCCCAACAGCCTGCCATGGTCTGAGCTACCTCTGCTTATTCACTTTTAATTCTGGTGTGTGCTTGGGAGCTTTTTTGAGTCTTCTGGGGAGAAGCCTCCATGGGCCCTGTCTATGTATGTGCTCACATAATTCCAACATGAAATGTAGGAAATTTGAGGGTTTTTGAGCATTCTTTTTAGATGTAACTCCCAATATTAGACGGTAAATTCCCTGAGAAAATAAATTTCTCTTTGAATCCCTAGAGAATATTTACTCACAGAACATAGCCTGCCTTTTAGTTTTACCGGGACTTTTTTTTTTTTTTAAATTTTTGTTGGGGAACAGCCATGGTCATAGGTTACACATTGCTTTCATGCTTCAATGGCATAGTTGACTCTTTTAAGGAGGGCGCAGCTCACAGTGGCCCATGCATGGATAGAACTGGCAACCTTGGTGTTAGTACCACGCTCTAACCAGCAGCTAACCGGTCACCCCATCGGGCCTTTTAATTGAGAGGATCAGCCCATCCCTTCTGACCCCAGCTTGAACTAACCCCTGCCTACAGGGAAAAGAAAGGTCTCTAATTCAAAAATTCTTGTCAAGGTCATACTACACAGTCTTTCACAAACATGACTTTTAAATAGTAGGAATTCCTGACCCAGACATCATGGGATATAAGAAAATGGCTATTGTTTTAAGGCACTAATTTTTGGTTACTTGGTTATGCAGTAATAGGAAGCTGATACTCCTGACAGTAGATAATTTTCACACCATGTTGGAAAATTATTTAGCACTATACTCAAGGTGACTCAGACATGTTCTATCACTTACATATTTCACTCGTAAGTATGTACCCAAGGGAAATGTGTACACACACGCCAAAAGATACATGCAGGTTTATAACAGCTGAAATAGCCAAAAAGTGGAAACAATGCAAATGTCTAACAACAGGAGAGTGGATAAATAAAGTGTTATGATCATAAAGTAGACTACCCTACGTCAATAAAAGTGGACAAACTGCAGTCACATTAACATGGATCATGTAAGCCTATTGTGGAGAGAAGGAATCCAAACAGCATACTGTTTATTGTATGATGGCACGGAATCAGCAGGTAAGGTTCTACGTGCACTTGAGAAGAATGTGTGTGTGTTGTTGGGTGGGGTATTCTATAGATGGTGTTGAATCCAGTTGGTTGGGTGGTGTTTCAGCCTTCTATATCCTTGTTGATAACACTGTGTAGTTGTTTTACCAATTACAGAGAATTCAGGATTAAAGTGTTCAATTATTGTTAAATTGTCTCTTTTCCCCTCTGTGTCAAGTATTTTGAGGCTTTGTTTTTTAGGTGCATATAGTTACGTCTTGATGAATTAACTCATATCATTAAATTAGGGTCCTCACTTGCCCATTTCTTTGCATGTCTCATAATTTTTTGTTGAAAACTGGACACTTAGTACTATGTGGCAACTCTGGAAATTATATTCCCCTCCCATTCCAGAGTTTGTTGTTTTATTTTTTAGTGACTTCCTGAACTAGAATGATTCTGTCAAGTCTCAATTCTTTGTTGTAGGAGACCACTGCAGTCTCTGCTCAGTTAGTTTAGTGGTCAGCTAATGACTGGACACAGATTTTCTTAAATGCCTTCTCCATTCTGGTAGCTACTCCTGTTCCTATTACCCAAAGCTCCATTCTCCAAGATGGTTGTGTTTATATGATTTTAATTGAATTTTGGGGAGTAATAGAGTAAAGAATAGCTAAGACCAGCCAACAACCTAAAATTCAATATGAGGCATCACTATTTTTTGTAGATCTTTAGATTTCTCTACTAATAGACATTTCTCACTGGTGAGTTCCTCTGGATTCCTTTTAGTCCTCCAGGTTTCTGGGCTCTCTCTTCTCTTCCTAATACCCTCTCCATTATTCTCCTTGTGTTCCAAACCCTCCTGAAGCCAGGATTGAACTTCAAAATCCTGTAACTTCATTAGTAAATAGAATAATTTAGTTATCTGTATCATAATCTTTTCCCATTTGAATGAGCTTTATTGTGTGCTTTCACAATAAAACAGACCCCTCGAGGTGTTGTTCTAAATAAAAGAGCCAGGTAACCAGGAGATAAGGTAATTATGCCGCTCTTCTGAAA